CTTGTGACATAGCATGAATATATGCACTGTATTGCCACTGGAATTCTAAACATGGGCCTCTATCGACAGAGGGTTAGTGATTTATACAATAAAAAATGGACAGGAATTGTTCCATCTCTTTGACCTATGTTGGTGCTTGGATTGCATCTGAGTTTTCCACTCACTGCCTTCACAACAAGCAAAGTTGTGGCTTGAAGAACCTATTGACATTTCCGTCTTTGTGCTCACTTCATAAAGCAGCGGAAAAAAAACAACATATAGCCTACAACTTTTCAGCACAAATATCGTGAAGCTTCCTCAGCGGCATGAAAAATGTAACACTTAAGTTGACCACTGACCCTGTGACTTCTCCCACAGCAGCTCTAAGGCTTGCAGGACAAACAGTCATACATTGCCTCTGGCTATAGTAGATTACTGAGAGGCCAAAGCTGCCCTGTGGCCTGCTGGCTGTTACACCACTCACTATTCTCACAACATTCCCTCACTTGTTTCTGCAAAGGGTCCTCCTGTTGGGAAAAAAAATGTACTTATTTTATTCATGAGGGATCATTTCATTAGGTTTTTTCTTTATGTTTAATTTGTGTTGAGGCAGTAGAGGTGCCAAAACAGCAGGGGGTGTTGTACACTGTTGTAACAATAGTAACTTAAGCTTCAGATCTTTGAAACACTGCATGTACATTTTAAAATTTAGTTTCAGGTCAGATCATGTTACACAGCCCATGTCTCACACACACACACTATATATATATATATATATGAATATATATACTGTATATATGTGCTGTATACTGTATATATGTCTTAAAATACCATCTTTCCTGTCAAGATTTTTTTTTGTTGTTGTGCCGTATTATTTGTCTTCCTGCAGCTGAACTAGCAAATGAGCTCAGTTAGAGGTGTCTTTAAATGCTGACCCTGTTGTGCAAAAGGTCCTGTTGTTTTTCGCTCTGTTGGTTTCACACATTGACCGTGACTGTCTGGCCCAGCAGTCCTGGGGGCATTCGAGCCGACAGCTCAACGGTGAAAGTGAGTGAGCGGTGAGTGTGCAGTGAGAGCTACCACAAATTACAAAAAAACAAAAAAACACTGGATGCAAAAAGGAAAACCGCAAAAGTTCAGAGTATTTCTAAAGGAAATTACCAATGAGGATAAATTAGGCATATTGGACTTCCTGCTATTTCAGATGATTGAGAGATTGTAATAACAAGATTTTATCTGGGTCGCACGCAAGATATTACACATTTGTGGTTTGATGTGCCAATGGCAAAACAGTTATGTGCAGTATTGTCTGTTTTTAAATGTGTTAACTCTAAAAAAAAAACCTTATCATTGAGGCTTAAAGTAACTCTCAACGTCAAATAAAAAAAAATTCTTTTCAAATAACTTCAACAAATGTAAAAAATCTTGCAGTCTAGTAATCTAGTGAAAAGCCTTGGCAATCCTGTTTCATGAGAGAGAGCATTTGTGAGCCTGTATGTGCGTCTGTGTTTAACTCCCACCTTTGCAATGAGGCCCCTCCACCCCTCTGTTGTTGGTGAGGGCCCACATGGAAGCGATTATGCTGTGCAGAGAGTGAAATTACAGAGGGAACCTACAGAACTGGAGCCCTCCTATTTCCACTCACTCATTCACTTAGATTTACACACATGAACACAAGCTCAGAAGCACATACAGCCGAGTGAACACACACATACACAGATAGAGAGAGACAGACGGGCACACGCACACACACACACACACACACACACACCCACAAACACTCAAACAGAAGCTCTGCTGCCACCTTGCCTGAAGCTGTACATTTCCACTGCTGGCTCTGTTGAGACAAGGCTGCAGTGTGCTTCCCTCCCCGCCTTCCCTCTCCTGGACTGGAGTGGGACGGGGCCGGGGCTGTAAATTCCTCAAAAAGAGCTGTTAAGAGGGCCTCCATTAAAACAGGGGGGTCGGCCCTCGCCAGAGAGGAGCCTGCTCAATAAGTCATCATCCAAGCCTGAGGCCTCACTGGGGCCCACGGGAGAGCAACAGACTGGATTAGAGCAGTACTACCTCATTCTGTTTAATACACCTAGTTTATCTGGAGATCAGAGTACTGCAATATTGTATTAATAGGCCAATAAGAATGATTCTACTGCCTTATAGTGTATCTGAAGGAGATTGATGGACTTATCAATTAAAAACTCCTTGATTACTTCTACAGCTGTCGAGTGGTGTGGCTTTCTAGACTCACTTTTTAGCTCCTGCTGCATTGGAACAAAACTCCCGGTGGCCCCATTGTTATAATCTCTGACTTCCACCTACGGACTGTTTGGATCAGAAAAGACTTCCCTCACAAGTCAAAATAGTATCCAACAACTCAAAATGACTATTTCAGAACAACTGATCAGATTGCAGGTCCATCAGGTTCAGTTTCAGCTCAAAATCTGCAACTCAATAAACCGTGACTGCAACTGAACAATGACACAACACAGTAGGTTAAAACCCCAGACACCTCATCCCTGCTTGTGTTATCATTTGCTACTTGCACCATCACCCCCGAACGTTTACGAGAGTGGCACAGTTGTGTATACACTGTGGTGTCTGGATGCACATTAACCATTCCCTCCCCTCCACACACACTCCTCCCAGTCAAGCCCATTATTATCCCAGGCGTGCTGCAGGCTCCCAAAATATCTGTCACGCAGCTGTCGGCACCTCTCTGCTCAGCAGCTGGAGAGGCTGTGAGGCACTCCCTCACTTTCTACCCAGATACCGTATACACCCTTGCCCTGAAGGACCTGGGGGGGGGGGGGTCAGGAAAAACCTGACGGGGTCAGTCTCTTCCCAACTGTTGTGTTTGTTTTCTTGTCAAAGCCACCCCTGAGTGGTCAGTGCACTTATGAGCAATAAAATCCCAGACAAATGGGGTTGCATGAGGCATGAAAATGAGCCACCAAGAATATAAAGTTAGGAAGCTTGGTGGGCTAAACCCCTTTCCACAGTTTCTGCTATATTTGCCACTGCTATTCAGGCAATGTGATGTGAGAGTTCATGGTTTAGTGATATACTTGTAAGGCATAACGCCAGCCTAAAAGAGACCAGGAGGACAAATCATCATAGTAATATTAAAACAAATAAAATCATTAGCAGCAAAAAACAACCATAGTCTCTGAGAAAAAGTACCTTTATGTACCATAAATGAATATGCACCATGTTAACCAGTCAAATGTTTTCAGGCATTTATCGTATATTTTTCAGTGAAAAATACGCCTCTGAATTCAATAAGAGTAGGGCAGCATTAGAAAAAAAAAAAAAAAAGAAAGAGATTTTAGTGGACACAAGATAAATGGAAAAAAGCAGGACACCTCCTGATGGTGACTGTCAGGCCCAGTATTTATGGCTGTAGGCCCTGAATCAAAGTCAGAAACTGAAATGTACATTTAAACCTTCAGTCTCCTGCCAACTTGTTACGCTCCATCCCACTCACAGCGGCCACCTCTGAAAGCGATGATAGGAGGAGAGAGAACATATTGCACTTCCTGTAGACTTTTTCAAGGCAGAGCAAGACAGATAGATGTAGTGTGTGCTCTGGAAAGTCTCAGCAGCTCTCCTATGGTTAAGGATAATGTATGACTGCAACTAATCCAGCGTTAGCCTTCAGAGCATGAGTTCTTCTTGAGTTTGTGCCAAGATTTGATTAGAAACAGGCTTACTACATGTCTGAGTAGTTTTTTTTTTCTTTTCTCTCCCCCATTGTCCATTAAAGCCCTTCATAGGCCTGATACTGTCTAATTCTTATACAGTAAAAGAAAAAGAAATAGTTCATGCTACATTGGCACAAACTTGAACAATGGCTCCACAGTAACACGGAGAACACTGCTGCTTCTGACGAACAACGTGATCCTTTTCTGACATGCCAAGGCCTTCTTCCAATAAGAGCAACATCATAATATCAGCTCAGAGAGCATTCTTCCTGTCTTACCCCCGATCCTCGGCTTGTCCCTTCTTGCCCTCGAGCAAGCAGGAAACGGCTGCATGCAAGATTAAAGATCTGAGATCAACAACATGGAAGACGGCTGCCACTGAAAAACTGGGCACCAGCAGTAAAGAGGAAAGGAATCTAGTCTAGATAGATACCACCTCTAACAGTTCTGTACAGTAGGTTTGTTTAATCATAAACCTGCATGTCTTACGTTTCCAAATCTGCATGGCAGGTAAAGTCTGTGTAAAAATTCCCCAGATGGGTCATGCAACATGTACATCAAGATTTACTCAGAGAAAATTACTTTGTGAAAAGCTTTTTTTTTTCTTCTTTTTTTTTCCTGGCATGACTTAAATGCGGAGCATCTGACTCCATTTAGTTCTGACGGTTTGAGATCCAAAGTTTTACTTCAAATATTCACAAAATCACAGTCACGTCTCTCCTCATTTGGATCCTCCTTTTCTTCTTTTCTTTGTTGTTTTCCCCTGGAGAAAGACAAAGGCAACCAAATAACACTGAATTTTCCATCATGCTCTCCAAACCCCTCCACCCCCCAAAAAAAAAAAACCCTAAAACAATCTCACTCTCTTTACCACCAGCACCCCACCCACATGCCGCTTCTCTTCATTCTCTCACTCTTCATTCGTTTCTCTGCTTCAGTGCAAAGCCAAACAAGCCAGCCATTAAGTTGAGTTAAGCGCAGGAAGTGGGCCTTCGGGCCAGACGGCACTGTTTACAAGGAGCTAGTCAGGTTTCAGCAGCGCTTTGAAGTGAGCAGCACACAGGAGACTGTCTGTCACTAAGCAAAGGCCCAGCACCGCTCCACTGACTCACTCGCATTCCCCCCATTCATCTGAGCGCAGAGAGGGAGGGAGGGTGAGGGCAGAGGGGGTGTAAGATGGCAGAATAGAAGAAGCACAGGTAGATTTATGGTTTTTCCGCCCTCAGAGTATTTGCTCCTTCCTTTAATCAGTCTTACTTGTCTGTTATTACAAGCCATCTTTATTTAACCCCAGATAAGGATACAGGAAAGACAAACATCAACTTGTCCAACAGGTCAAGACATTTATGAGAGGTCCATTGCTCTGCTAAAGCTCATGTCATTATAAGCTCATGTCACTAATTATACTGTAGTTTATAGAGGAACAGTCTAATATATGGATTATGTGCAACCTTATTTGCCCCTCTAAACTTTTGCAGTAACAATATGAATACACACACAATACTGTATGTGCGTGCAATTCTCAAATGCCCAGAGCCTCTGCTCTGAGGCAAGAGGATCAACTTTCTCCAACACACCCATCTACTTCATGACATCACCGCAGACAAGGTTCAGTTTCAGCCGTGGATGGCTTGGGGGATTCCAGCTTGGCACAGAGCAGAGTGGCTCCAGAGAAGTAACACTACAGCAAATCTGAACACCCTTGTTTTCCCTTCACCAAACGGGCAGGCAGGAACATTTTCACACCTATGCAACAGCACAGACTTCTCTCTTGCCAGATGATTCCTTGTTGACTTAACTGAGCCCCCTCTAACAACAGGCAGAAAAAGGTCTCCTGTTTTGTTTAGCACTTGAAGGCGATGTTCGTGTACACGTGTGAGGAAGTCCTCCACCACATTCTTACAGGTTGGCACCTGTTTCTCAGACACAAAACACGTTGATGCCAAATATTTCAGAATATACTGATAGGGTGGGTGATAAGTTCAGTCAAAGATCTCACTATAAACTCGTTCCTTGCATTTCCCAGAGGACCACTGTCTTGTGTAAGGAGCTAATTTCCATTAAGAATTCCAATAATCTCTTTTACTGTCGCCTGCCAGTCTGAGGCAACAGATGTTCAGGTGTGACACAACCCTCAGCTCCTTGAGAAAACAACATGGCTGTACTTTTATCAAAGAAAATAACTCGTTATCAAGATGGTATTTAATCATTGAAGAATACTGAACATATGGAAGGGCAAAAAAAAAAAAAAATGAAAGAAAAACATTAAATGCTGTTTTTCCTTTTTAACTAGGAATTCAAAATGAAGCATTTGATATAGTTATTTGATGATATCTGAGACCCAGCACATGTTTTTGGTTAAAGAGGAGTGAAAATACAATGGGCTAAACCAAAGAGCTTTTTGGATATCATCCAACAGACTGAAATGTAGACATTCTTTTAATCCATAAAAAAAACAAAAAAAAAACATGATTTCTAACCAGCGATTAATAAAGAAAAAGGAGCATGTCTACATCTACACTATGTGGCATTTTTACAGTGCAAAAGTAAAGCAGGTACACTGGCAGATCAGGAAAAGTATTTACTTTCTTTAAATACAAATATATAATTTCGTGTTTTTACAAATACTATTTACAGTTTCATTAAATCACATGAAATGCTCAGGGATGAGAATAAACAGTCATTCTTCCACAGCTCATTTCCCCGCTCTCCGTGGTGGATCATCACTCCCCTTGCGTTTATGGTGGCTTTAAGAAAAGAGCCAGAGAGGGGGGAGGTGAGTATTTCAGCACATGGCATCCATAGCCATGCTTGTTATTTGTTCAGACAGTGAGGTTCAGTCCTTGTTTATCCAGCTTGTCCTTTTGTCAAACCCGAACCCTCAGTTTGGCATGCATGTGTGGCTATTAAGCTGAGAATACAAATGCTGTAAGAACTAATGGCTACTCAGTGTGCTACTTACCTATCATATGAGAAACAGGTAATAACACACAAGTTAGTCCCAGCAACATATAGATATAGTCCCTTTAATCTACACAGTGGTCTCTCCATGTTTGCCATTTGTCAGCCTTGTGTAGAACTTATGCCAGGAGTGCAGAGTCTTCCCAGACCAGATCCAGAAACCGGAGGTGATGCCTACTATCAGTGTCATCAGGTATTTGATCATGTAGACAGTGAAGTCTGGGGTCATGCGGGGCCCGGTCTGCAGAGGGCAAGGGATGGCCAGGCCCCTGCAGTTATGGTTGACCCAGCTGCGCTCCCAGTGGGGGCGGAAGGCCTGCTCATAGAAGAAGCAGGCAATAACAATGGTTGCCGGGACGGTGTAGAGCACGCTGAACACCCCGATCCGCACCATGAGCCGCTCCAGCTTCTCTGTCTTGGTGCCGTCGTGTTTCATGATGGTGCGGATTCTGAACAGTGACACAAAGCCAGCCAGCAAGAAAGAGGTCCCGATGAAGAGATAAATGAAGAGAGGGGCCAACACGAAGCCCCGCAGAGGGTCCAGGTTGCTGAGGCTGACGAAGCATACGCCGCTGAGCACATCACCTTCAATCTGCCCGATGGCCAGGATGCTGATGGTCTTGACGGCTGGAACTGCCCAGGCTGCCAGGTGAAAATACTGAGAGTTGGCCTCAATAGCCTCGTGACCCCACTTCATACCTGCTGCCAGGAACCAGGTGAGGGACAGGATGACCCACCAGATGGAACTGGCCATGCTGAAGAAATAGAGCATCATGAAGAGGATGGTGCAGCCTTCCTTTTTGGTGCCTTGGACGATGGTTTTATAGCCATCAGGGCTAAAGCTGTCATTGCACACTACCTTGTCCCCTAGGAAGTAGCCAGCTATGTAGGCTATGGAGACCATAGTGTAGCAACCAGACAGGAAGATGATAGGTCGCTCAGGGTATCTGAAGCGCTGCATATCAACTAAATAGGTGGTTACTGTGAATAAGGTGGATGCACAACAAAGCACAGACCAGATCAGGATCCATATGCGGGAGAAATGAATCTCTTTGTCACTGAAAAACATGTACCCACCGCTTCTTGATGGCTCACAGGGAGCTGCACAATCCTTCTCTTCTAAAAACTTATAATTCAAATATGGGGGCACTTTGAGAACAGATGGGCATCGGAAAGGCCTCTCATACGGGGGGACCACTGAGATGTCCTGGGTCCCCGGCACAGGCATGATGGGTGGGACGGTGGCGGCGGAGGAATCGTTTTGGCCCACACAGATTTGCCCGTCTCCCAGCACGGGGAAGTTCTCACAGCGCAGCCGGTCAGGCCACTGAAAGCCAAACTTGTTCATGAGAGCCTCGCAGCCCTGCTTGGCTCTCTCGCAGATTGACCTACAAGGAGGAATGGCCTTCTCCAAAACTGTGCATACAGGCGCATACATGGAGCAAAGGAAGAATTTCAACTCCGGCGAGCACTGTACCTTTACAAGGGGGTAAAACTGGTGCACCTCGAGCCCCGCGTCCTCCTGATTGTAATGACCGACTAAATTGGGCATGATGGTTTGGTTGTAGGCTATGTCCGTGCACAAAGGTATTGTAATCGGCTGACAAAATCCATGGTCCGGAACGACTATTCCGTTGTCCCCCTGATACTGGGCTGATATCAGCAGAGGCAGCAGGAGTGCAACACACCAGGTCTTGCAAAAAGTCATCTTCCCAATTTTAAGACACGGACTTTATCCCGATTAACTTGCTGTAAATTTGTTTAGTGTATACCATCAGTTCTGCGAGTAGTTCTTTAGCAGGAGTAACTTCCTACAGGGGAAAAGTCTGATGGTCTTGATCTTTCTGCTTGGTCTCTGCTTTGAACGCTGCTGGCTGACTTTTTTCTTTTCCACAACTCCGTCCCTCACCACGGTCAAGGCAACCATAGTAAGGAATTCGACATCCGGTAATGACTTTCAATATAAAATCCTAACAGCTGAATATGAGTTCTTTGTAGATTGTTATGCCAAGGTACGAGCATAGCACTAAATATTCGATACATGAAATACTTTATATTAATGTTTTCATCGAATGTCTGACCAACAGGCAAAGGGTTTTTGAAGGCTACCAAAATAAAAACTTATGTTAACTTAAAAATATTATAAGAAATTAAATTTGACAGTTAATAACAATAATAATAATAATAATAATAATAATAATAATAAAATACTATTAATAATAACGACAACAATACTAATGCTCATGATGTTTTTTATACACCAGCACTATGACTAAATGTATGCTTTTATTTTGAAGGTAAAGTCGATTGTTTACTGGTAGTATTTTTGCTAATAGTCGTAAATAGTAAAACTTGACTCCACAGCTGGATTGCGTGGCCCAACCAGACTTTCAAGTTCTCTGTTTGAACTAATATGGCCATGGAAGGAGGCAGACTATGCCATTGCCAACTAATGTACTTTTATGTCTTATGACTTTTATGTCAATGAATCAGTCTCTATGTAAACATGTCTGATAATAGATACTAAGTAATTCAAGAAAATGTACGCATAACTCTAGATTAACTGGATTCAATTGAACTGGAATCCCTTTGTTTTGAACTGAATCTGCTTCAATTAAACTGAATTGAATAAATAAACAAACAAATATAAATATCCTGCAAATAATGCAATCATTTTACACTGCCGTGGAAAGTCAATTTTGTGAATAAAAATGACATGACAAAATAAAAAGTAAAGTATGATGATGATGATGATAATAATAATAATAATAATAATAATAGTAATAATAATAAAATCCTCCTCCAGCATGACACTTTGCCAGTAATTAAATTTATTAGAAAGACCCCTCTAAGCGATCAAGTCTTCAGTTAGATATGTTTTTAACAATTCATGAAGGGATCAATAATAATCTATGGGAATCTATCTATCAAAAAGTTTGGTCTCCGGACAACAGTCACTTGGCAAAAACAGGATTTATGTGTATTGCCAGAGGATGTATGTTGATTAATAATAATAATAATAATAATAATAATAATAATAATAATAATGATGATAATAATAATAATAATAATAATAATAATAATAATAATAATAATAATAATGATAATACGTTTTGTTATGGTTAATATGGTATTTAATGTATATATGAATTTATTTTATCTATACTAAAATGGATAAACTCCAGCACTATCTGTACCATAATGCTGCCACACCATGGCCTGTGACACCAGGTGTTGCTATGCGCTGAATCATCTGCTTAACGTTAATTGGACCAAAAATCAGAATCCTCAGGCTCAGCCAATGTGCGATCAGGTCGCGAGGGGTGTATGAGACGTGTCTGGGATCGAGTAAGGGGGGAGGGGGGCATAAGAGCACTTGAGGATAATGTACTGATTGACAAGAAAACTGTTGAACTCCATAAGTTACCGTTACTTTACTAAAAGCAGGTAGGCTAGTCTCGTTTTTAACGGGTAAATTTGATTCAGATAACTTGCGTTGTTTGCGGAGTTAGCCAAATTTGACTGGCAGGGAATGAGTTTTAACAGAAGCTAAAGTTAACCCGTAATTAGCCAAGTTAGCGTAGACAACTTGCTAGCTTAATCCACTAACGGCTAAATTGGCGAGCTAGTTGATTCGCTTTCTTTGAAAAAGCAGTCAGCTAATAACTTCTACGATTCCATACCTCGGTCATATTTGTTATATAAGATTATATCAACTATTAACAACGAGTACTTTTTTTTGTTGCAAGGCCAGAAATGGAGTAAAGAATCAGTTCAAGTTCAAGGGAGTTCAGAATGGCATTTGAGGGGCATCAGAACACATTCGCAAATTCACTCTTTCCGACATACCAGCGTCAGGTAAGCTATATTTTTGGGTCGTAACTTTTATATATTTTTTTTTACAGGACATGACATATTTGTGGCAATTACCTGCGTTAGTAGATTATGGTAAGGCAATTGTAGGGTATTTTCAGGTCCTGAAAAGTCATAAAGATCATTGAATTCAGTTCCAGCAAAAAAGGCCTTAAACGCCTTGAATTTCATTTGCAGAGGTCTATAGTAGTTTTTGTCGGTCATAAACATTAACACTAGTTTTACATTTTTGTGTATGTAATTGCTGGCAGTCAGGAGCCATTATAGATTTATAAACTACACGTGAGATTGAGTGTTAGTACAATCAGACCTATAGCAAACTGTCACTACAGCTACATCTTGGTGTTCTTAAAGTTATTCAAAATTAGAAATAGACTAGAAATATTTGTTAGATACTGGGAAAATACGGGGAAGGACTGACAAAAAATGAGATATGAATGTAAATAAACTTTTGTTTATATAATAAATAATTTTAGGACTTATAGTCCCTTCTTTTTTGGCATTCTTTGACCAGTTTGACAGTAGAGGAATTCAATTGCATTCTGTGTACATAAACATTTTTGAACACTTCAGAAACCCTCAATTAATGGTGAAAAACGATTGATTCATCTATCATTTAGGTTAGCCCTGTGTTTACTGTGCTGTATGACCTTTTTTGACATATTTTTATCCCAAGTCATAGCAGAAATGTAGTTAAGGATTCTTTATTATTATTTCGTCTGAAGCTGGAAGAAACAATTATTTCATTATTGATTAACCTGCCATGATATGGTATGTAAAATGAATGAAAATCACTTTTTTTTGTAACTCCCATGGTGATGTCTTACAAAGTTGCTTGTTTTATAACCCAATTTCTCACCCTATTTAAAATGAAATTGAACAGTAAAAAGCTGTAAGTCCTTATATTTGAATTGATTGTCATTATCAAAATAGTTGCTGATTTATTATCTACCAACTGACTAATCAATTAATGAACTAACTAATCACTAATCTTTAATTTTCTCATTTGTCTTTTTACATTCTGTCTCAGCAGTATTCTTAAATAGTTTGAAGTCTCTGTGGCAGCTACAACAGTTTCAACAAGTTTTGTAATTAGCATCAATTTGCCTTGATGGGAAGAAAAACAGTAGCAATTTTTTGTCAGATGAGCTTCAGTTTGATTTGAACTTTTGATTCTCTCTTTCAGGCCAGTGTAAATGTAGCTGGTGGAAACAACGGAAACGCGACATTGCCCTTCTTTTCCATCCCTAGTGTCTCACTGCAGGAACAGGACACAGTATCCTACATGCCTTGGTCTCACAATGCTCATGATGATCCCTATGAACTTATCAATTGTGTCCAGAGCAGCATTAAAAGCAGGTATTCAATTTAATATATATATTCAGGATAAGTGTGTGGTATTCACTTGTGCACTATACTAAATGTACTTCAATACTGTTGGGGAATCACACTCCTGTTCTGTCCAGTATGTTTTGGATTTTATTCTGTTATTGAGAGATAGTTTAATATACTGTGTGCTAGTGTTATTATGGAAGAAAAACAAATAAAGTTGTCAGTCATACTGTTAAATTAATGTTTTCAAAGAAAAAGGGAAAATCATAGTGTAATTCTGACATGTTTTCTTTTCTTGAAGGAATCCTACTGATAATACTGATTATGATGTAGAGACTGATCTGCAGGGTCTAGTGTCAAGTATTTTGGATGAAGCAGATTCACAGGGCAGCTACTACAGTGAAGGGTATGTCAAGGTTTAAAATTTTCACCCTCTAGGGTAAGGTATATAATTTAGAGTATATATTAAATAATTTATGGCATGGCAGAGTTAGAAATATGTGATATTAAATATATGATAATTGTAGTTTTTATCTTCATTTTTCAAAAATTGATTTATTTCATTTATGTTGTATCAGTAATATAAACACAAACATTAAAAGAAATCCTGAATTCTTCTTTTAGGGGCCTACCTACATGTAATCCTGTCTGGTCTCCTAAGACATTGAGAGAGGAACTGCTACAGTATTTTCAATCAGAGGCTAAAACACAACATAACCCTACCTTTTCTCCAAACTATGTATCCCGTGAGGCTTTCAACAAAGCACAGGGACAGTCAATGGACAAAGATGTTGAAGAGTTTTGTCAACAGTCCAATTGCCTTGCTACCAATCAACAATGGCTTTTAAATTTGTCTAATGGAGACAAGGACAGCTACACCCTCCGTCCTCAGAAACTGCCACCAGGCCTACCAATGCACAACACAGTAAACGCATACCCACACACACAGAACACAGTAAACGCATACCCACATACACAGAACACAGTAAATGCATACCCACATACACAGATACAACAAAGCAAATATGACAACACGTCAGCTGATAAAGACAGAGGATCTAATCGGCCTGTGAATAATTTCCCTGACCTCAGTGATGTTTTAAGACCTCAAAACGAAATGAACAACCCGTGCTTTGATCCTTACTATGAAGACCACTACATCCAGAGCAGTGCCAAGTCCATTAGTAATGAGCAGTATGTGCCACAAGACATTAACCAACTGGTCAGCAGTTTTCAGTCGTTCATGGCTGGTGAGCATGATAGCCTTTGTCGTAGAGACTTTCCAAACATGCACAAGCAGACATTTGGCATGCTCCATGAAGACGGCATGGTTGAACAATGGAAAATCACCAGTCCTGCAGTGTCAACACAAAGTACCCCTGCAATACAGACACAAAAACAGCTGTTGGGAGAATATGGGTTAGTGCAGAGAGAAAGAAATGGAGGAGTCAGGAAAAAAACATTTAAACATGATGCCCTTCAAGATCTACCTGGTTTCAGCTCTCAAAACACAGAGTACTTCCAACAACCAGAGACATTCTCTGCATCTGTGAAACTCCCAAACCAATACCAAAACAAGATGAGCATGCAAAGAGAGAACATTAACATGAGCATGAACCAGTATTCAAAGCATCACAGCCAGCAGGGTCAGATGCAGAACAAGCCACAGATGCAGAAAGAAAAGAAGATGGTGCAAATGTCTGGCATTCTGGGAGAAGGTTTCTCTACCAGACCCCTAACCAACACTCGCATGAGAGATGGAGATAAGAAACAGGTTTTCTCACATAACCCATACTATGACCTTCAGGGAGGCATGCAGTCTCAGAGATTTGATGGAGAAATCAGCATCATCAGTGCAGGGAATACACAGCAAGGCATGCCTCTCACATATCCTGTAAGTGACTTTAGAGGGCGTCCCAGCATTCCCATCAACTCTTACTTCAGCTCCAGATCCATGCTCCCCTATGGAAGTGTTGCTCCTGGCATGGATGTGTGTGATATGTCAGGCAGTGAGTCTGCAGCTTTCAAGTCCTATGTCAGTGACATGATGACCCGCGGAGGAGAGAGCACTTATCATGGCATGGCCTCAGCTATGATAACTTCAATGGTGATGAATCAAGGAGGACCCATGATCCAGCTTTACTTCTACCTTGACGAGTGTTACGAGCAGTGGAGGTGTTTGGAGAAGGAGAGAAAGAGGGTATGCTTTCAAAACATGATTTTGTGTCTAGTTAGAAAATGTCCAGGGGTGTTTTTGAAGATTGGTATCACAGCCGAGTTTGTTTTATTTAGTCAATTTTTATCAAAACATTACGTTCTTAACATGGAGCAATTTAGCCAACCCAATTTAGTCAAACATCAGATCACATTAAAGTCTTTTATTTTTAGTGTATGTCAGTGTGCACTATACAGTTTCACTAAAAATATATAACTTTTGCCACATTTATGTTCAAATCAGCACTGCAGTGTTAGGTTGTCATGTTCTCACTTGTTTTCTAATTTAGACAGAGGCGATCCTCACCAAGACATTTCATGGGAAACGGACTGCAGCAGTGACCAACACTACTCTACCCAAAACTCCACCAAACCCCACGAGAATTGACCACCTCATTGTTAAACAGAACAGAGAGCAGGCAAAGGTGAGACCCCTTAATACATTGCTTCCATACTGACATCTGCAGGTGAGTTTTGTCACAGCAACTCTTATGTTCTGAAGGTGTGCAGCTTCATTTGGTACACTTAAATTTTTATCGAGAGAACCACAGGGAAACGCTGTCCCTCTTACCATGCAACCCTATGAAACTTGCTTTAGTTTTCCTTAGTTTGGACCTTGTTTAGAGAAAATGATCTTTTGGAATGTTTTGGTGATATATTAACAATTGTTGTCCAGTTTTGTATTTGAGTTTTTGGCTGTACATTTTGTGACTTGAGTTAAAAGGCAAAATATTTTATCCAAAGATTTATTATTTTAAATGTGATAACGTTAATCGCCTTTGTTTTTGAATATCAGTGAATCTGCTGATATTCATCAGTCATGTAATATTTGATTATGTTGGTGTGCTGTAGGTGGCAAGCCTTCTGGATAGGATGGAGTGTCTGTGCAACATTCCTCTCCATATCAACATCCACACAGCACTAAACAGGCATCATATGGCTATTCGCATCACCCAGGCGAGACGCAAGGAGGAGATAGCCAACATGTCCAAACACCAGCAGCAGAGAGCTCATTTCACAGAGGACAGAGGTAACTCATATTGCATTGTTACACATACATTCATCTCTCTGATATGCAGCCAGTCCTAATTTGCTCCGGTTTCATAGACATCCTGCTACTGGTCGTCGCACTGAAGGACCTAGCTGCTACCACGAGGAAGCTCTGCACAGCCATGTGGTGTGCTCTCCAGATGACACTGCCAAAACCTGTCAAAAGGCAGGATCACTACGTTGACAAGGAGGCCACACATAGAGAGGGGTACTCCTCTCCAATTGAGGGATACTCTTTTAAGTTATGATTTAACAGGCAACAAACATGAGTTAAAGGCCTTGATTCAATTAAATCCACATCAGAATTCCCAATTTCCCAAGTTTCCCATAGACAACAGGATGAAATAAAAACAAATGTTTTTATAGTATTACTCACCTGACAGTCTATAGTGACATTTTACCTGCAACACATCAATCACCTCAAAATATGAGATGAATGAGATTTGAAGTTTGATGATGGCTGTGCTTTTTGGCACCAAGAACCTTCAGGTTGCTAACTTTGGTCAAGTAGGAATTGCATGTCATCGTCATTTATGCTGCTGCATGTTAACTTCATTTATCATTTAATTAGTGTCAGTTCCAAATTCATGTGAATCTTGCTCCATCACCGTTGTATTTAAAGACACTATTTATGTGGAGGATTTCAGTGAATTCTTCATTGTTTAACTTATTTATTGAAATGTAATGGAACCTCAGTTCTGGGTATTCCCAAGCAATAATTGAATCATAAGGGCAGTAGTTTAAAATTAACATGCTAAATATTAAAATCTTTTCTGAAATGTTCCAATTCATTTCAGCATTTTCAGGTTGTCTTATGTAACTTTAACATGCTTTAATCAGAAAAAGTTCTATTCATATGCAATTTGGTGAAGTTTGAACTGTGAAGGTACTGAAACTTCTGAAGAAAAAGTTCAGTGTTTTAAATGTAAACATATTAATCACATTCTTCAAAAACATTTAGTATTAAATAAGATTCTTATCAGTGATATGTAACATAGCTGAGTTAAAAATTCTCTGGATACAGGTTATCCAAGTCTTCAAAGTTTAGTCTTTGAAGACTTGCTCTATATCAGTTGTTTAAAATGCATGTGATAACTTTTACAATGTTTTCTGAAATGTTTCAGTTAGTTTCTGAAACTTTAATTTGTCTTCTAATAATTCATCTCTGTAATAATCAGAAAGCCTTTATTTATCTGCTATTTAGTCAAAAGCTTGAACTATAACAAAAGATACTGAAACTTTAAAAGTTCTGTTTTAAATGTATTAATCACACTTTCCATCAGATTATTTTCATTTAGTATTATCAAATATCTTTAATTCTTCATTGAAATATAACTGTTTGTCCACTAGGGACCAAAGCTTGTATCCATTACAAAGCAAGTCAAGCCACAGGCATTAGTCTGTAGACTTATTCTGTATCAACACTCCTCTGACTATGCTTTGTGACTATGAACAGGGTCGTTCTATTCCCTGTAATTTTAATGTTCATGTTTGTTTTTTTCCTTGTTTCTTGCCATGTAAACTGAAAAATTAAAAATAAAGCAAATCAAATGGCTGAAAGTGTTTTTTATTACTTTAAAAAGATGATGAACCTCATTATAAACATTCAAATCATGGTACATGATATATTTGAGGTATAATTTAGCAACCGGTCCTTTGTTCTTGATCTCACACAAAATGCATAGACTGTAAAACTGAAACCTAAAGCAATGAAAATTAAGTAAAAACATTTGACATGAAAATTGCCTTTACTTAGAAGTTGTGCAGAAATTAAAGGTATTTGCAAGATATCGGCATAGAGGATAATAACAGAAACTCTGGATTGAGTTACTCTTTAAGTGTGTCTCAATTTTTACCACAATCGATCCAATTTATGTTTTAGGTGAATACTTTGTTCATGTCAGTGGTAACTGTCAAAGCTTAGCTGAAGCATGTTTCACAGTTGCTGGAACGACATCATATTGGCAGAGACTTAAATAAGTACTTTTTTTTGTCATCGACAAGACTTGACTATTGCAATCATCATCATATAAAGATCTGCAACTTTATTCTTAGACCACATACTTCCCATATCAGTATCCAGATCTGCACAACATCCAGCACATTGCTCTTTACACAGAAAGTAATTAACAAGGAGGGTCTGATGAAGTCATTCACATACTGAAGGTGCCAATGAGGTTTGAACTAAAAGGAGGCAATGACTTGTTTTTTTTTTTTTTGTGTTTGTCTGGTTACAAAACCTTTGCCTATACAAAGTGTCCTTTCCCTTGGTTTTATCTTTTGCGTTCACCTTTTTGTGTCCTCTTCTTCTCCTTCTCTTTTCTGTCTTGTTTGGCGAGTTTGTCCTTCTCCCGCTGCATCTTGTCCGTTTCCTTCTTCTTCTGAGCGTCTTCACGAGCCTGGTCGCGCTTTTGCTTTTGTCTGTTCAGCACCTCCTCCACGTTGGTGTTCTTAAACAGGGCTGACACTTTCAGTAAAGGACAGCTGGATAAAAGCAAATGTATTTTTACTACATACTCTAGTGGTGAAAAGCTTTAGAACACCTCAATTTTTCCAGTTGTTGCTGAAATGTACATAGTGTAATTTCTCAGTGTAAATTAAAAAAGGTAATCATGGAATCCTATTATATTGATAAATATAATCTAAATTTTTGAGAAATTCAGCAGCCGAACATTCTTTCTGTAACAATATAATAAAATATAATAAAATATAATATGTAATATGCTTGAAAAAGTTTGTCCTAACACTTGCAGAAGCTCCCATTAATGTGTGTCAGGGTGCTTTACTTTCACCTTCTGTCCAGTTCATCTCAAACCAGCTCCATGCGACTGTGCTGTTCTCTTTCACAAGAAGCCACCGTCTAGTTCTTCTCTTCTAATGTTTTGGGGTATTATCCTGCTGTATCCTTTGTTACTTGTCTTTTTCTTACCATTCTGACAGCAGTATACAGTACTAATTCCTTCCACAGTGTTGTCCTAATAATGCATCAGAGCGTTTAGTAACAGTTTGTTTCAACGCTGCATTTGTACAGACAGAGGGTTTGTAAGTCATCAACAAAAGTTGAGGCATGTGTAGGAATTGTTTGCATTAACTAACATTAACATTATTCTAAATATCTTCCCTCAAAAAACCCAGAAAAAGGCCTGTTTTCTATTAAATTTACATGACTTTTTCAGTTTTTGGTGACCTAAACTTTTTTTCTCTGAGCAGTATACCACTGGACTTGAATTGCTTAAATTCCCATAAAAACTGGAAAAATGGGGGCGTTCTAAAACTCCTGACCAGTAGTGTATTACCACCAGGGAGGTGTAAATGACTGGAAGTATGTTGTGTAGTCAGGTTTATGCAATTATTGCACTATCAATTCATATTGCAACGAGTAACACTGAACTCCAAGTGATTTTAAACTGTCTCTGATCATAAACAGCTTCAGAAAGGATACATTTATCATTCCCTGGGACGATATTTCCACTTGTTGGCTCCTCTTCTTCAGCTTCAGTGCTTTCGTCAAGGAATTAACTGAATGTTTGTGATGGGAACATTAACTGGATGAGAAAACATAAAATATTTGCTTTCTTTTTTTCCTTAAATAGTTACTGAACATTCTTGCTGCACAGTCAATGAAACATTGGTAATTGAATGTTTAGCTCTACCAAGTGTGACTGGCCTCCCTGTCCTTACAAATAGCACAATCAAGGATATTCCTCTTCATCTGTTATGTTGGCGTATTGAGCAAGGAGGGCTTCTTTCCTTTTCTTTGACTCCTCTGACACCTCCTTCTGTTTCACCACAATCTGAGCTTGTTTTTCTATCATACTGGCGATGGCCTGGACCTCAGCTATAGAAAAAGAATGACAGAACACAGTCAAACTGTATATAAACCACAATGACATTAAGTACTTTCTCTCACAATGAAAGTACCTGCTCTTTCAGTCAATATGAAGGTACATTAACAGAAGGAACCATGAGGTCAAGCATCCAAAACTGGAGGCTCCACAGTAAACAGTCACTTTCCAGTAATAACACTGATAAAACAAACTCAGTGGAAATTACTTTTTAGCATAAACACTTCCTTAGAGCACAAAAACTTTTTGTAATCTCAGAAACTGTTTTTGTTTAGTTTTTTTTTCTTTCAGGAAAAGTTAATCTCTTTCTGAGACAAAGTGTCCTCGCACACTCTCCTCCATAACTCCAAGCAAACAATTTAAAGCTCAAAGAGCTAATCCCTCTGTATGTTTATCTGGTATTCAAGACTTGACTCAGTAGCAAGCTGTCTTTGCTGTTTAGTCAAGATTTAAATGGCTGATGAGCCTGCTGGCTTGATTTCAGGCTGCTTCCTTCTGAAATAAGTATATAAATTCTTATATGACTATATAGCTTTTAGTGCAAGTTTGGACTGCATTATTGCTTTTGTTGTTATCAATGCATTATAAACGCAGAGTACTTTATGCACTGTTCTGCAAGATGCTGCCAACCTTGATAACTTATTCCCTAAGAGAAGCTGAATTTTTTATTCTAACCAACAAGGTATCTTAAGGGAAAAAAATCTAACTTTCCAATGAGTTTGAGAATGCAGATGAATCAAAGTTACATGGTTACCATCATCAGCATCTCTTCTGGCTGCTGATCGGCTGCAACACTCTGTCCACTGCTTGATGATCTGTTTGCAAACATCTTCCACAGTGTCCTCATCCTGCACAGAAAGGACAAGCAACAGTTAAGTACAACTAACAGTTAATCAACTTAATATTCTCAGTACATGATGTATACAGTGGTAATGTGACCCCAATGTCTCGCTTGTCTGATACGGAGGTAGCGTTTTTCAGCTTATTCTAAATGAACAGAAGGTTAGATACCCAATATTTTAGAACATTTCAATACATTAAGCAAAACTCAAGACAGCCGTGCAAACATGCCTCTCTAACAAATTGCACCATGGATTCTGGAGTATGTTTTCTAAACCGAATCCGTCAAACCACCTTTATTAAATGTAACGAGTCGTACGTCGCTTAGTGAGTTCCTTTATTTCTCAAGACTACTAATACAGAAAAAATCCAGATTTTTGAATGGGGTTTGGCGTAGGAGAGGAGAAGAGCTCACATCACTAGCTGCAGTGTGTGTACCTTAACTGAAGAAACACTGCTGTGTCTAATCTGGACATCTTACTCCATAAATGACAGCTGACATCAGCGATGTCACTTAGTACCGCCCGGCAGACAAGACAGACAGCAACAAATGAGCATACAGTCTCGAAGACTGAGCGGGGCATGCCGCTTTGGATATTCACCAGAAATGCGGATAAAATCCCTTGAAGTGTATCCTCTCTCTCCTCGTCACTCTCCTCTTCTTGTAGGACCCCTAAAATATACGCCCCATACACCTCACGATCCACTTCTAACGCGTCCAGGCGATCATTTAGCCACCTTTCAAACTCTCCGGCGTCTGTCCCGGGCGCCGCCATCTTGGCCCTTTGGGGTCTTTCGGCGACACACGGCTGTCCTTTGTCACTGCCTGTGAAAAAAGGTGGAAAAAGCCTGCACGTGTTTAATATTTCTTATTTTTTCGTGTAAACGACGAGGTAACGTCCAACTCCAGGTAACTAAATCATGTTGACAGTATTTTTATAATAAGCTAAGATACAAATTGAACAGCGTATGTATAGACGCTGTTAACAAGGTGTTTGTAGATGTCAAGTGTCAACACCAAACAATTCAACGAGGCGTTTTGTCATCCCTCATAAATCTTCTGTAAATCATGTTTTGTGGTATGTCCATGCGACATGTCCACTTACAATTTTTCCTTAATTGTTAGCATTTCTGATACATCAATTTCTACAGTCACTACAACTGTTTATAAATCATTTTTACACACACTTTATTTTTCTTGTACAATGTTCTTTACTCACTCAAAAACATTAGGGACTACAGTCACTCAATTGAGTTAAATTTCCTCTAGAATTTTCGTCAATTTCTACCATAAAGTTTGAAGCTTATTCTCACTGTCAAGTCCACTGTGACTCTTTGTGCATCTATAAAGGTAAATACTGCAACACAACGAATTAATCTAAACTAGAACTATTGTGTGTATAATGTTATCCATCTAAATGGTCCAGTGTACCTTGCCACAGCATTTTATCCACCTCACATCTAATATTTGCACTCCCCATGATGTCCTCACAGACTGCTTGCATATTTTTCTCCCTATGTCTCCTCCTTGGCCTTTATAACAGTCCTTACTTTTTTTTCTAACCAAATTGCCCCCTTTTGCCCCTTTCTAATGTCAGCCTGTTTCACATTAAGGAATTGTGGAACCCATTTCGCCGCCTGTAGAGTAAATCTGAGAGCTGAAGTTCATGAGTACCACGCATAACATAAATTACAGCTTGTACTCTATGAGCATACGTCTTGTTAACTGTCTATTTGAATGAAAATGTCAGTGTGCAACTTTTGTCACACTGCTAGCCTGGCTTGTTGAATTAATTTCACCAGCCAAAATTTCAATCAGTGTTAAATGCCCAGCGTTGGCAGGCACATAAGTGCCCGGGGATACTGCCATGAATCCCAAAGTTCTTGATTGAAAATTAATGTTCGATTGTCCCACAGTTTACAGAAGTACTTGTGCACTCACTCGTAGGCTTTGAGCACGAGGCTTGCCAGTACTAGTCTAATTGAAATGCTGATTTCAAAATAATCAGCTATTCTTTTGTAATTCAGTGGGCAGCTGGCAGTCAAACAGCCTTTGGCAGAACATATTCATTATCACAACATACCAAAATACTGAAAAACAGTTTGTTTCCACTAAGTAAGAGGAAGACTTCTTTGACGATTAACTTTGATGATTGTAAACTATTCCTTACACTCCACCTCACAGCCAATGAAGCACTGCAACAACCTTCTCAAAGGCTGAGACTTGCGTATGACAAGTTTCTCAAGGTTACATACATTTGTAGCATTCACAACTAACTTTTGCATTACCTACATCCTTGCCTATTCAATGAAATACAGATGTGTTGCTGTTAAGAATAGCATAAACAAGTGTGATGTTCTGCTTTTGGCCACTGGGTGGAAGTAGAGGACACAGATTTGTTTACTCCTGTCATATGATCGAGACAGAGGATATAGATGAGTCTCGGATTTAGTTGCATGACAGTAGTTTGGAGCTTATTTAGCATGCGATTCATTGCAAATTGCTCCATGCATGTGCATCAGACTCAGTTTGTTAAAGTATTGTTGTAAGCAGAGCGGTGGAGCAAGAAAATGCCCTGCCAGCTGTTTGTTCGTCCTCCTTCATTTGACACAGGGACAACAGACAACACCTCCCAGCTGTTTGAATATATTAAACAATGTTTCCATGTGAATAGCTTGATCCTGCTTCCAGAAAGCACTTTGTGCAATGGGGGTTATTAGTTTCCCCCCTCCCTTCCCTACTCACACACACACACACACACACACACACACACCCTACATATACCCCCAACACACACACTCCCCTTGCCACTGCTTCTACATAATGGCTTCACACATTGCTGGCCTTGCAGTAATGAAGTGTGAAGCTTGTGACGCCACAGGGAACCTACCATGTGGAACTGTACTCTCTATTTTTGTGCACCACCTTTAATTCCTTACAGCCCAAATACATTTGCTCAGATATTTGGCTCACTTTGTACTTTCTGCAGGCAACATTCAAACTAACTTTCATCAAACACCCTTAAACAGTTGTGAAACCAGACTGATAAGTTGGTGCACCAGCTTCTTACTTTTGTGCTTTTGTGCTAATAGCGTTCTGCTGATGTTTCAAGTTGGACCAAGACAAACAGAATGTGCTTCCCAGCTGTATATTAGATAATTAAATTCATTTTAACCATGCTTTTTTAAAGCCTGCATGCATCGCTTGATGTTTGTGTACAGTGTTGATGGACATACAATTGTATGCAGTGTGTGACAGTTCCAGCAACAGCAAAGGAAACCAAAAAACAAAAAAGGAATAAACCCTAAATTTTCAAATTTAAAACAGATTCATTCATGTCTGTTTGTGCTCACTTGTCTTGTATTACTGTAGCTAGTACGAAGTGGTCCATACATTTTTATGTATACTGGCTGCCAAAATAGTGCTCTATTAAGTGAGAAGGAAACTACCATTATAACAGGCTGGCATAGTCCTATCTCAGGCTGAGGGGCCCAGGGTCGATGCATAATGCCATTGCCTCTCTTAGTATTGCGTAGCTTTAGGATGCCTGTCCTATTTATATTGAGGGGCTGTGGATTGATGCGAAATGACGACGGCCGCGAGGTGGCTGAGTGGGTGGGCATCCACATGCTCCACTCCACAGGCAACCCTCTACTTCTATACACGCACACACACACACACACACACACACAGATATGCACTTGTCTTCATGTCCCAATGCCACCAGCCTTAGAAAAGCCCTACAGTCTCAATGTGCAGTGTCCTCTCTCTGTCAACATATCCTCTATCCCAACGTTAATGTGACAGAATATAACCAGAGCCCAGAACATCCAGGCAGTGCAGAGCAATGAAAAACAGCATGTGTAACAGGCATGTCTCCTCATCTTCTCCAGCAGTTTGCTTCCCCATCACATGCTAACTCGACTGCAGCAGAGCTGAAAGTCAAAAATTTTGCTAATTCTATTAAATAAACCTTTTAATCAGCTGTAACTGATTTCTTTGAAATGCAGTGACCTGGTTTCATACTTAAAACATCTCAGTGAACTCTGTTACAATCGAGATAATGATGACTGAAATCAAATGAATGGCAGTGTTACAGCAATCTAATATTTTATAACAGAATTGATTGTGCTATTAAAGTCTCTGATTAATTCATAATAATTAATTGTCATAATTTCAGAGTGCACAGTGTCAGTGATTTAACCCGTGAAAAATGATGAGTGGAAGGAAGCCAAACGAGGGACAAGTTGCTGGTGCTGTTTAAAAAGTTCATCAACAGTAAGTGCAGCAAGAACACAACATAATAATTCTAATGATTTTAATATCTAATGTTGCATTATTGATCATTGGTAAGGCATCGTACTTCTTTTTTATTTCCTTTCGCTTCTCCCAACACATACACATGCACACACACACAAACACAATAATACATACACACACTCCTAATCTCACTCACTTTTCCTCTGAAGTTTCAGAGACAGTTTCCATGTTACCATTACAGTAGCCTTTAATGTCAGTCATCTTAAGAACAGAAGTAATGTTGGGCTACTGCTGTCTATCCATCAATGTCAGGTTATTATAATTAAATAATGCCGATTTCTTATTGTTTTTGAAAGACAACAAGACGCTAAAGATTATGAAATCGTGGTCGCCAAGAATGCCTCACTGCATTTATTGTTTGAAGGACTCAGTGATTTCCTGGTAGAAAAGTTAGTTAGTAGTTAGCTTTAAACCGTTTGATCTTAGTGGTATCAGAACTAAGCCCCTGTAGCTTAAAGCAATAGTTGGACATTATGGGAAATACACTTATTCACTTTGTGGGGAAGAGTTCCCTCATATCTGTACAGTGAGTATAGGGCTATAGCAACCACTCAGATAGCACGGCACAAAGACTAGGAACCAGGGGGACACAGCTATCCTGGCTCTGTCCAAAATCCACCTACCAGCACCTCTGAAGCTCACTAATTAACATATTAAATCTCATTTGTTTAATTCATACAAAAGTCAAAGTGTAAAAACTGTAGTTTGAATTTTAACAGGGGTTTATATTCTGATGTATTTCTTTCTTGGCTGGGGGCAGTTGCTTGGCAACCAGCAGAGACTCCACAAAGTTCCTACTGTTCCCAGCCAAGAAATAGTCCTGTACAGATAGGAAATGGCAAATTGTCAATTTTCCACAACAAGTGAGATATAATGTGTTAATTAATGATCTTTAGATGTGCTGTTGGGTGGATGTTGCTACTGTTGCATACAGCCAGGCTAATTGTTTCTCCCTGTTTACACTTTTTGTGCTAAGCTTAGCTAACCAGCTACTGGCTGTGGACTCTCTAACTCTCTGCCAGCCCGTGAATAGTATTTCCCAAAATCTTGAGCTATTCCTTTTAGAGGTGTATGTTAAAAGTTCTTACTGTCCTGCTTCAGAGAACAACAGCTGTGGTCATCTTGACTTCATCTACAGTGTACACTATGAGTACTAACACGGCTTCTCTCGTGTCAATCCACACGTGTGTTTAAAACAGTACAAACACAGTTTCGCCTATAGTGTCATTAAATACAAAGCTTCTGTTTGTTGCTTTCTCAACAGCTACAAAGGTAAGCATAATTGTTAATAGCGTTTTGTTAATCTTTTGTTTCATGGATGGTGTCAAGTTACTTCGGTTTAAAAGTTTTAGCCCAAGTAAAGATATGAGTCAGTGGTGTTAAAGTCAAAGCATGGGTCCTTGTTGATTTGTCTAGTGCAGTCTTAAATTATCAGATTAGTGACCCAAATCTGACTCGAGT